TTCGCGAGTGGTCGACAACGTCTATACCATCGGAAAGTCCACTTTCCGCAGACTCATCGTTATGGATTTCAATCCGCGGCGTATTCTGTAATCCACATTTAAAATATACTTGAATAATATGTGTTTTATCACTGTATGTGGAAATATTTGAATCAGTTATATTGTGTAGCGCAGAAATATTAACACTAGAACTATCGGAGATTAATCTATATTTATTTCTACCGGAGAAATCTCAGAAAAGAAAAGAGAAAACAAATTAATAAAATTAATCATCTATGTAATTTTAATAAAAGTCAGGGAAAATTTTAGAAATTAAGATGTTTTAAAAATGAGTAATAAATTATTATAAAATGTCAAACGGAACATTTTGACACCCCTTGGTAATTTTAGTGCAAATCTATCTAGGGTATATGACAGAAAAATTAATTATTTCCTACTTACAATTAGAGCGATGTTCCACGGTGAAAAATAAAATTCGCGGACATTCTAAATCTACTCTGTTTTCGAGAGAGCGAAGATACGTTTCTTAATGCGATTAGTTTCTTCATTGGAATACCAGCGCTAACGGGGCGTCAGCTTAATATCGATTTCAACGCGGCTCGCTTTGTAAACGTACCTCGACAGAGAGACGTTGGTTCGAGTCGCAATTACCGATGTCACTGAGGTCCCAATCCTCCAATTTACTCGGATCGTACTTTATGAATCCGCCGTCGGTGACCTCGTTCTCGCTCGAGTCCAACTTGCCCAGCACCTGATATAGCGACAGGTGCTCGATGCTGCCACGTCGCGGGATGTAGTCCTCCAAGCACACGCTGGTTTTCTACAATCGACAAATGACACGAGTGTAATCATCGTCTTAGTTCCGTAACTCTCTTGATACGCCAATACGGCAAAACAAATCAAATTAAAAAGTTGACGGAAAGAGAAATGAGGAAACACATAGAAAACGTAACTTTATCAAAAAAAATCTCTTCAATGAAATATAATGAAATGCCGCGAGGAACTTTATACATATTCCAAGTGCAAAGAAAATTTGAACGATTGTTTTATACGATGATGATTGTATAACAATTTAAAAAAATGTAATTGTGTGTGACGATAACAGTTTTCGCAATTGCACATTTTTTTCTTGATAGACATCACGACGTTTCAAAATTTTAGCGTTCGATCAGTGAAATAAAATGGTGGGGAATGATTGTACTGAACCTCGGAAAAGGGCGACAGGAAAGATTCGGCCGGAAGCGAGACCGTACTGCATCTGACGGGTCTCCTCGACTTCATTTTCTCTCCCACACCTCCTTCGTCGTTCGCCGTGCTTCTCGGGGGATGCCTAGACACGTCCAGCTCATCGTAATTCGGCAAGCTAACGGTGCTGTAGTTCTTTGTCCTTGTATTTGTTTCCGGTCTGTCGTCGTCTCTCGAGGAATCCCTGATCCGCCTCTCGAGCTCCTTCGACTTCTGTCTGTCCTGGCGATTAGGAGCCGAAGTGTCCTTGATCGATTGATTCCGGGCGCATCTCTCGTATTCTTCATTCTCGAGAGCTTTCCGGTGATGGTGGCCCGACTCCGAAGTCCTCGAAGTTTTCTTGTCGCCGGGCGTTCTCTTGCCGGAAACCACCTCGCTAGATATTATCCTTCCGGTGCCGTTAACCTGTCGAGGGAAGTCATTACTTTCGTTATCAAAGTTGAATAGAACGAGAAATTCGAATGAGATTAGCGCAATTCCTAATAGTACGCTGCATTTATTTTTCGCTTTTTATTTTTTTCGCATAAATTGGACGGCGCCGTGCAGAAACGAATTAATTTATCAATATTATTTTAAATAAATTGAACATAAAATAAAATTTCACATTGCAGAATGTATAGTTTTTTCTTAAATTTATAAATAAGGGAAGTAGGCAAAACACAGTCGCTAAATTGGATAATTTGAATAATATTTAATTACTTTGTTTAATTTTTAAAGCTTAATTTGCACAATGTGTTTTATTTTCAATATCTTTCAATTTCCAGAAGAGATATGTTTTATATTAGTGTCTTCCTCTTGATGTTTTTAAATTTTAAATTTGTTCATTTGTTATTTATTACAAGTCATACAATACAATACTTTCTAAAAATCATCTTTTTTGATTGTAAAATTGTTTCCTTGTCCTATCAAATATAATATGACAATTTAAGCTCGATAACATTTAATAATACGATAATATTAGTGTGTTATAATATATGTGTGTTATATATTACGCATCCGCGTTTGATTTTCTATGTCAATACGAATTCTATGCCGATTAAAATTCGATATAACATCAAAATAAATTAGTGAAGACGTGAATGGGCCAACAAGCGCCGTTTCAAATTGCGCTGTATCAAAATGATGACGTGACGTTGATTCGCCAACTCTTGGATAACTTGGAGGAACATCAATTACGATGAACTAACTCGCCTTATGTTCGTAAATCTCTTTCAACCTTCGACTGTCATGCTTCGGATCTTCCGTGCAGGTCTTTCCCGCTCCCCGCGCCTCGACGTCACCGTTCTGGTCGCTGCTACCCGTCTTCGGCGATCTGACCGACAAGTATAACGGTTCCTCGCACGTATCGCCGCGTCTCAAATTATTGGTCACGTTCTCAGGAATCTCGTCCGGTTTCGGCGGCAAGGGCCTGCTCCTGTTCCTTTTTTTTCGCCTCGGAGGTGGCACCGGAGTGACGTCCTTCAGATTGGAACCTGCGGCGTTACATTTATCCGAATAAACGCGGTTACCGCGCGGCGCTCGTTATACATCTACTCCTCTATCTGATACAACGATACGCTCACGGCATACAGATTGAATGACTTTAACGACTTTAATAATGCCCAACAATATCGGCGGCCGTTACCCGCGCCATCGTCGCAGCGTTAACGCGACTCGTTAAAGATCTATACGTAGTACAGCGATAAATTATGCGGGCTTATGTCTTACGCTCGGACAAGAAACGGAAGAGACGGCCGCGCGCTGACGCTCACGACTTAAATTTGCGAGAGCCAGTCCCTGCGGCGCTCACTCCTGTTACGGCTTATAACCGGGCACTTGAAATAGAAATTGCGTTCTGTACCGAGACGATGGGAAGGCAGCGATGCAGCGATATTCGCACCAGCAATTTTACGTGACATCACGTGACGTTTCTATACATTCAATCTCGTGTCTGTAATTCTCTTAAAACTGCAACTATTTTCCCGAGAGTCGCGTTCATTAAAAATTTTTAATTAGATACCTTTCATCTTTCTTAATACGTTTTTTTCGATTCCGCCGTGATTTTATTTCGTCTCGGTCCGAATCGCGCGCGCTTTCATACTCGGTACCCGGTAACGATCCACCGATCGCTGATGTACATCAATTTGACGATAAATTGTCGAGCTTACAGCTGAACGTAGGTGTGGCGGCGAGACGCAGACTAGTGTCGACGAACGAGTTGGTGAGAGTCGAGCTCGCTCTAGGCGGGCTAGGCACTTCGAGATTGACGTCCACCCAGTCGCTAGGATGAAAGGGCCTGTCCACGGAGTCTATGCTCCGTCCCCTCGTGAGCGCTTCCCTCGGCGGTGAACCGGCGTATCCTATTTCGGAGCTGCACAGAAAAGATTAAGTTGAGCTGCCCCCGCTGCTACTCCCCGCGCTATAACGCGCTAACGCTCTTCTATAGCTCGGAATGTAAATATATGACAGCCGCGAGCGAATTTGATACGCGTAATCGATCATCGTGCGAGTATTCTGCATTAAGTTTGTGTGGAAACCCATTGCGATGCGCGCGGGGATATCTTAACTATCTAGCGATATAGACCAGCGATAGGCGTGAATAATTAAAAAGTAATGCGCATATATCAGACTTTATAATCGATAACTGGCTTAATTGCGTATGCAGCAATCTTTTGTTGAGAAGATAGACTTTTTCAAGTAAAAGTGTCCAGACATCTAAATAGTTTTTAACAAATTAAAAAAGAATGGTTTTAGAGATAACACCGATAATCGTGTATCAAGTGAGATAAGAGATAACGTTTCTCGAAAATTATTTTTTTAAACGCAATTTTTTCTACTTTCGCTATATAGTTTGTCATCGAAATAATGTACAAACTGAACTGTTCTGTATCGTTTAGAGTAGGGCTGTTGTTCTTTGACAGCTTCGAAAAATATCTTTGCGACATAATTGCAACATTAGAAATTTTATTTGGATTTTGTCATATAATTTTATAAATATGTGCCTATATTGTGGATTGTGGTCTATGGACTATTACTATTATATTAAATTAATAATTGTATAATTTTGATTCTTTGAAGCGTCGAAGATTAAAGTTTCGAAGTTTCAAAGTTTCGAAACTTTGATCTTCGAAGATTTTAATGTCGAAGCCTTCGAAGCAAATCACCAGCCCTAGTTTAGAGGCATATTCGATTTTCGACTATTGCTTCTTGCGAAGCAGGAGTATATCCGCGGAGAGAGAGAAAATCGGTACGAGATAAATTCGCATTCTTTCGCAAATGTCACGAATACGCGAAGCAGTCGACTGTTAATTCTGTACCACTTTCGAAACAATTTGTGTCCATCAAAAATTACAGCTCGGTGCACCGAGATAATTCGGAATCGCTACGGCGCGGGCGCTACGTAAGCTTATACGGTTTATCGCAAATGCATTCCGTGTTTCTTCGCATCCCTTGAGCTATAACTCTTTCGGGACGCGAAACATTACCGGAATTTCTCTCATACAGTCTCCTGCTCACGCGCACGAGAGAGTGCCTTTCAACTTCGTGTACAAAATACCCACGGTGCACGCGAACGATTTCAAAATATCTACAAAGAAGGAAGAATTCCGTTCGTCTCTCGCCAGGGCATCTTTTATCAGTGATTTACTTACATTGAACTAGCATCACAATATGGAGCAACATGATAAAATATTAAATTCCTCCAACGTACAATCGCTAAATGAGTTATAACAAGTTTGTCTTAAAAAAAAAAGAAATTACTAAATTATTAAAACAAGAAGATACTAAATAACATAAAAATGACATTCAGCATGCTCTTGGTTAAAAAACTGGAACTTTTCTCTATAAGAGAAGCGATGTTTTTTTCTTTAATTTACCAGAATTTTCATTGTGCAAGAAATAATAATAAATCATGTCTATGAAGATAAAACAATGCGTTTTCTTCTAATATGATCACTTAAAACAAGATGAAAACCAATAGAAATAAAAAATAAATTTTGTTTCTGGTTTTAACATTTAGGCAATACTATAAGAATAACTAATTGATCGATATTCTATCCTACACTTAATGGATATCAATACATGTGGACATGATTGCTCGTTCTGTACCGGGTCGTAACAGCGTGTGACACGTGCAGTTTATTTATTATGTTAACCCGCGCATATATATACAAGCCGGTGCCACGGCGTGCGCGAATAATTTACGCGAAATGATCATCCTCGTTGTTCTTGCGGGCTCAAATGAATTAAAATTCACATTGTTGGAACAGTTCGTGCCGACGAGCGGATTATTATAAGCATATCTCCGTTGTATGCGTGTTTTATCAGAATGGATTCATAAAATATGCGTGTTATAAACGTGATTATTATCAATACACGTTTCAATCGGCGATTTTTAACGTTCGGTTTTTCATCATGTCAAGAGATTCGATTCGACGTGATGATTTATCCTTAATCCAGGATACACCCTTCCGTAATTTTTCTGATAATAATTGGCGGAGCGATCAACGATAAAATGTTATTACGTTAAACACGCAGTTTTTCATCGCTTAATTTTACCTGTTCTGCCGGCTTTAATGTGAAAATAAACATTACTACCTGTGTTGTTAATTACGATCTGATGATAAACACTGATTCAACATCAGGCATTCTAACGGTGCGCTATGAAGAATATCTTGCCGGTTACGAAACTGTTGTGAAATTACTACATAATTTTACAACGTGTACTTGTATCACTTATTACACGGGACATGTTATTAATACATTTTATCGGCAAAATAAACTTTCGCCATCGATAACTCGCGCAGATTGAAATTGACAATTAACATTATCGCGCTACGCAGTGGAAAATAATTTTTACCCAAAAATTTTTACATATACTCATATTATCTCTCATTTCTCGAGATATAATTAAAAAATTATTTCTTATTAAAAATATTCCAAGCAAAAACACACTGCAACATGTTAATTAATTGAAATATTTCTATTTACATTGATGGAAATTATGATTTATTAATCATACAAAAATGAAATATGGAACAAATGTATCGATTTAACCCGAGAACGGGCTAACTTAATTTCTTTGCGTAAATGGTCACCTAGGATGATTTTTACATCCCAATTAAAAAGTTATTATTATTAATTACCCATTGCATATTTTTAATTGCATATTTTAAATTAAGGAGAAAATATTTAAAAAACGAAAGAAGCACATTAAAATTACTGTGACGCGCGTGAACTTTATTTTTTTGATACTGAGGGATAAAATTTACCTCGAACGCCCGTCTCCGGGTTAAGTCACATTATTTTAATGAATAATATTATCTAACATTAAAAGAATATTGCACGAATTACGAAAACTTGTAACTGTCTGAAATCTGTAAAGAATTTTTGATAAGTTCGCCTTTGCTCGGTGCACACTTATACGAATATACTCAAGTATATTACTCATGTACATTGTACATACTATATAGATGTACATACTATAGATTGTAACATGATGCTAGAAGAATGCTTATGTAACTACATGATATGTTTGACGACAATAAATTAGAAATATTAACTCGCCGTGTGCGAGGTAGCGAGCCAATCACCTGATCGTTACTATCGCGGCAAACTTATCGATCAATTTAATCGTTCCCCTAGCAAGGCAAAAAAATTTAATTGACGTAGCCGTACGCACCGCACCATTAAAAAAAAAAGAGATCGAAGAGAAAGTAGATTCCTTCGAACAGGTACATAATTGAGCAGTAGTAAAGTCTAGTATAGTAATATAGTTCTTTTAAAATTCTTTTAAAATATGCATAACAAGCAGGTCACTTGCCGCACGTTCTCATTCAGATTTCTATAGGTAGATTATTGAGATTAATGTATATGATATTATCGGGGGATTTTGAAAGTATTACTATGCATTATGACGATATTGCTGCAGAAATTACGTTATTAAGAAGCAAAAGAGTGTAAAAATTAATCTCTTTTTTTTAGAGAGAAATGTGTAAGTTGAAATTATGTAAAAAAATAAGTTATATAAACGAAAATGGATAAAAATCTCAAGCAAATTAATATTTATACATAGAAAACAGATTCTCTGCTTGCTTAAATAGATTTAAAATTACACATATTTAAAATTACAAATCGCTCCTTCGTCGTATTTTTGTAATCGAAAGTTTCAATTTAACTTATTCCATTTCTATACAGTTTGTTTTCGGTGGCATAAATATGTGAAATTCGATAATATTGGATTTTCTCTGCTTTCGCAGACACACCAGCAGTAGGTAGTTTTTAAACTTTCGCACTTGCGAGTAGGTCCAGAAATGGTCTACTGACCCTAAAAAGGAATCGATGGAACGAAGCGTAGGACGAGAGCAAACTAAAGCGGCCGACCCACGCTCGATCATCGCCGTGTGGATTCACTGTCACACAGCCTAAAAGCTGTCTGAATATAGGATAAAGCTGTCACACGGCGTAGATCCTTTTCCACGGTAACGAGAGAACCACTGGGGGGACCACCGTTCTGCCCGCAACGCGCCACACATTTTACATGTAACGTGTCCGGACTCCGAAAATATTCCACTGTCGAAAATTCGATTCCTCTCCCTCTCGCAATCGACGCATTACGATAATCCAAAATTCAGCCGAACCGAGTATCGCGTATTATCAATAATTTTCCGTAGATATATATTATTTGCAAGGAAACGAAATGAGACGACAAGATAAATTATTCCACCCAACTTTTTTAAAATTATTTTAAACATTTGCATTCTGCTGATACGATACGATTCTCTATTTTAGAGTATTTCAACATTTAACTGTATCAAATCTATTGTAGGACATTTTACGCGATAAAAAAGAACGCTTCAAAAACTATTTTTATTTAGTTCTTGTTCCTCTATTTGAAAAGAAAGAAAATTCTTTTTTGACATCAGTACAAAGAAATTAATTAAAGTCGTTTATTAAACCGCAATTATTATTTTTTTTTTATTTCAAATTGCAGACTGGTGTACAAAAGTTTAAGGTACAAACAACCCGGTCCCGCGGTCTTAAGAAAAAAAAATTGTCGAGTGTCTAAAATGTTTCGATTTTTCTCAAGATAGAGAAGATGAATCGATTGTAACGCTTGTGAGCGCCGGATGATTCAATTACGAAAAGTGGCGAGGCAGAAATAAAATTGCGTTATCGGGCGCGACGCAGCGTTCGCCATTCGCCTGACACAACAGCGTGACCATTTAAGGTCGCGCCACCTCTCCTCAATTTATTGTAAAGTTAGGTTCACCTTCGACGATGACGTTTACGCGCTAGGTCGTTTAGGTTTCACTCCGAGGCTGTTGCCGTCGCATCAGGAAATTGCGTTCTTCCATCCTTACGTGCGATATATCGCGCGATTTATTGCGCGATCGACGGATCATAACACGATCGCGATACCGCGTTCCACGATCTATTGCGTGTCGAAAAGATAGCGCCGTTTATTTTAATTGTAAAATATCTACATTTCTTTAATGTCGTATCGTCGGAGAAATAATTGTCTGATACACGCTTCGTAACTCGCGTCCGATGATGTCCAATTGTATCCATAATATGGCTTTCGTACCCGAGCGTTCCAAGATTGACGGAAAGTGGACGACGAGTAACGCGATTACTTGCCCATTAACCCAATAAGCCACCAAGTCCATTGTTCAACTTAAATTAGCGGACCCTTTCATAAATTCTTTTGTAACGTGACTTTCTGTGTGCGCGATGACGGCACGTACGACGGCATTAATCACATTAACCGTATAACGCAATTTTTGGATCATCAGGAAGGAGCGAGTTTTACCGCACGTCACTTTCCATCGATTCAGATATCTCTCTGGAATTAATATGGTCGCGCGAATTATAATCTCCGGGTCGCCTAAGTGATTATCTCCGACCCACGTTCTCGCGCAATTAACAGCAACGATGCATGCGCGCTCTTGGCAATAACTGTCAGCGAAACTGTAGAACGAGGTGACTCTTAAAAGACGACACTGAAATCCTATTACACCATGCCCGATTAAGGTCGCATACTGCTTTTCGCGATTCGTAATCGCGAAATGCATGAGCAAAGTTTGAAGAAGAAAAGAAGAAAGAAGAAGAGAAAACAAGTGCGCGCGTACCTCGTAACTCTCTGCGTGGCGCCTCCCAAGACCGATCCTTCCTCCTTTAAACCTGGATAAATCTGCAACAGAGGTAAGCGTGAATGTTATACTTGTCGTTCTACATTTCTAGGAAAGTTTAGATGAAAAGAAAAATACCGTGAGGAAAATAAAAATATGTATATGAAGTATTCTTACGAAAAAAAATCTCAAAGTAAAAACAACAAAGCGATTTGATAAATTCATGAATGAATCTGAACACGTTATCATCTGAACTACATTTTTATGAAGATTTTCATAAAGAAAAGAAAACACTTTTCGTGTCATTTCGATGACTAATCAAGCAACACTCTGACGATGAGTTTACCTTACGTAAAATACAATGAAGAAAATTAGAAACATCTCTTATTCAGATTTTGGATTCTATTATAAACAATTATTTTAAAGCGAAAAATAATGAGATTCATAATATCAACAATGAAGCATGAAATAATTGCATGAGATCGAGCAGGATCATTCTAATGATTCTATTTCGTTGCTTAAAGGTAGCACCATCGAGGATTAATAAGTCATTAACAGCGTAATTACTTCGACGCGCCCTTATTAGGTTGAGAGAGAATGCGAGGGTAATTCTCCAGGCAGGGCGTCGAGATGCGAGGTGGATGAAGGATCGTCGATTCGATCGCATGAGGAGCCGATTAAGCTAATTCGCATTACCTAGCTCATCGGCTCGTTTACTCGACCGAAAACCATAGAACGCGACCTGTGTGAGAATCGTGCCCCAGAAATCCTTTTTCAAAAAGTTTGTGACCGCAAAAATCCATTTTTGCGCGACCGGCTGATTAAAAATCGCCGTCGTAAATCTCGTAGATAAAGTAGCTGCATCAATTTTTTTTCCTTTTGGCTTACTTTTACAATTCAGAAATTTCGCGGCGTTCTAAAATGTTGGAGGATGACTCTCATAATTCTTTCGGAGCAAATGGAATTCTTCGTTGTGAGATATTGCTCGGGAGAGATTTGACTTTGAAAAATGGCGATTTCATTAAAATATTGCGTGAAACTTGCTTAGAAGCAAGAAGGCGTTTCGTCAAGAAATTTTAGACGAGCGCAATTTTAAAAGTATCTCCTAATATACGCGTCGCAACTTGAAGATTAAAACTAAAATTGAGTGCAATTAGTATCCAATTAGCGTTCTCTAGTATTAAATTAGTGCTAGCTCGCTACACTTATTCCTCAATAGAATTAGAAACTATTAACGAAATTAGCAGCATAATAAGTGTTAGCGAAATTAGAAGCATTAGTTTGTTAGACAAGTTACGACATTCTATTCCATGCAAAAATATATTACGTTCTATATAGAATATATTGTCGAACTCGCCAAGTGATTCGCGACAGGTAATGGGAACAGTTTCCAAACGCGCGCGTTATCTTTCAATTTAGCGAAGTGTCCCGGGAAGACGACACGAGCAATAAGCTTAACGGAAACACGACTCGGTCCCTGACACTCTTGTCGAAGGATTACACAATCGGCGGCCATCCGCTGTGCGAATCGCGTTGCATAATACCCTTTTGTATCCTCGCGGGACGCGAAAACACGATGGCGTGCGAGAGAGGTGTAAGTAAGCACCGGTCGAGCTCAATACCGTTTCGTCGTCTTTACGATCGGCCTTCGGCTACGAGATATCTCAGATGACTCGCATGTGACGTGTCGTGTCGTTCTCAGCAAGTTAGACAATTTATTTTCTATATGTATCAACCATACGTCGCGCGAATGTACGTTCGACGCCACACGAAAGAGAAATATCTCTTTTTAAACAAAATTCCGCAGAACAAATTCTATGATATTTGACCTTTTAGTAACTTTCAGAGTTACTGAAAAAGAGATATATTTCATTCCGACTGGGCGTGGATAGGATAATGACATTTCGAACACCAGGCCAATTTGGTCTTTATTTGATCTATTCGTGAGAGAGAAAAAAAAGAATCGAACGGAACAAAACATCGATCGGAATCGGTGCATAGCGAGGAAGGTCGTTCGCTTCACGCCACGATGATTTTGGCAATTCGAACGTGTCAGACGAACTCCGACCAAACGTCATTTTTTCGCTAATTCCGTTGGTTCGCGAGAACGAAAGGACCCAGCGGACGTGTATGGCTTTTGCCCTTTTTATTTACAGCTGTCGTAACAAATAAGTTTCTATTTTCCCGAAAAAGAAGAATGAATTTCTTTTAAACTACGAAATTGTTAAGAAACGTGAAAAGCTCTTTCTTCGCTTTCACCTAACTCAAATTGCGCGATTTGTACACATAATTTGAACTTTATAGTACGCAATCCGTTAGTTACCCGGGGCTCTGTAAGGAAGCGAGCCTTCCGCAATTTCTGCTACGATAAACTCGAGCAACGAATTAAAACTCGGCCCATGACAGGTTAATCGCGAGTAAACGAGCCAGGGAGGGAGAGAGGGAATAATATAGCTTTAGCGTAATATAGATACGTTGTAAGTGCCGCGGCAAATAATAGGGCGTTAACGAGATTAAACGGGACAAGAAGAGTGTCCTTGCATCGATCTCGCGCGGGTACACGGCGAGGTGGCGGCGTTACCCTTCCACCGTATGTAAGGTATATTTCACGTATGCTGGCGAACAGCCCTTTGGAAATCGTACACGTGTCGCGCGGCCGTTTCTCCGGGCACGGTTTACATTGCAAATTTGTCGGGAAACTTCTCGCGCGCGACACGTCACCCGGGCCGGGCGAGTCGGTGAGCAAAAGTTATTTCGCCGATTAAGTTACGTCCCGAACCAGGACCCGGGTCGCCACCACTGTCCGGGAGCGGACTGTTGTTTCAGCGAAATGTTGTTCGCGAAACGCATTCACCGGTACCCCCTGGGACTGCCGTCCGACCACTCGCAAAAGTGTGTGGTCTATGACGCCGATGACGCCGTCGCGAACACCGTTCGTTCTTGCAACAGTATAACAACGATACAACTTGAAATTTATTTTCATATTTGTTTAGAAAATTGCAATCGTATTTTCTAAAAATCGAAGAGTGAAATATCACTCAAAACGAGTGAAATACAAGTGAAAATTTAGCCTGTGATCACTTCGAGTGACTCGTCACTTTAAAGAAAGAGTAAAATTGCGCTTTATAAGTTAGAGTGAAATCGCACTCCATTTGAATGAAAAGGCACTCTTTTCGAGTGCAATAGATTAATGTTCATACACTGCAGAAAAAAAGAAGTGTTAAATCAAGACTTATATACTTATGTATATAAGCAAGAATCTATAATCTTCTCATAAGAATTTCAACTTTTTATTTTAACTTTTTTTCTTGATTAAACTATATAAATACTTTCATTCAAACAAGATTTCTTCGTTTAACGCAATTTACATCTCATTTCAAGATTATAGATTCTTATATACAAGTATGTAAGTCCTGATTTATTATGCACTTCCTTTTTTTCTGTGTAGGAGTGAGATATGACACTCTATAAATTTGAGTAAAAAATTCGCTCCTACTTTATAAGTGCCCGCATTTACTCAAATTTATAGAGCGATCCTCTCTTTTGTAATGACTATCGCAATCGCTCTAATATATTAGTGGCGAAACCACAAGATTTAGAGAAGAACCGCGCATTAGATACTCGTCGTCGTTGCAAAATAAATCTCGTTCTGTATATTAAATTTTCGATCGTAAAGAATTTCCAGAACTCTTGCGTAACTTATGGCGCCAGGAATCGAATCACGTGATGCGTGCATGCGAAAAAAGGCATGAATTTCCCACGAAACAAAGTGAATCTAGCGAGTTTAGCGGGTGAGTTTAGTACGTTAGAAGGGGAGATCCTCTATCGCAATTGTAAATGCATTTTGCACGACACAGTTGTTTCGGCAAATGTCAATGCGGCAAAAAGTTGAGACCCTAGCGTGAAATCTGCGCGCATTACGGCACCGGTTGTTACCAAAGTTTTATTATGTCTTCGTGACAGTGGGCAATTTTCTGGGTTCCTGCACAAATATCTAATGTAACTTTCACTATCTATTAATAATATAGTAGCGTAGGTCGATCGGCCAACGTCTACCTGCGTAAAGCTGCGATTGCGTCGCCGAGGCGTGATTGTCTTTTTCGGTCGCAGGATTATCTAACAAATTCGAAATTTTCAAGATTAAATTGTATTTAGTATCTAACGAATTCGCTCGGTTTGATTATAATTTAGCGATATAATACACAATTTCTATCAATAGTATATTTTTCATATAATATGAAAGCAGAAACTTATTCATAATACTTTTTTTAAGATAATGTAACAAGAGATAAAAGTTGGCTCTGTAATTTGCTTTGCTGCGTAATATAAATAATTTATCTGCACTATCGATCATCTCAACAATCAAAATTTTTTAAATTAAAAACACTAAATTAAAACTGGTAACTTTATTTGCATAGACCGATCAACTTGGCGCTTTGTCAGAATTAATGTTGCTAATATTTACATACTTCCTCATCATAAATTTACGTAAGAAAATTTATAGCCTTTAGTGCCAACTTTTAATTGGGCAGTATACTCTACAGGATGTTGTAATAATCTCATTAAAGCCTGTGTATAAAAATTCATGCATTTTACCGCTATATTTTAGCGAAGGTAACTTTGTATATCACTGAGAAGAGTCTATTTCTGGAACAGATATGTATGTTTTGAGCTCTGATCCATTGTTTATTCATATATGGACTCATAAGAAGCCGAAAAAAAAGTCTACTGATATGCAAATACCGTTTGTTTCGCTAGCATACAAAAAAAACCACTGGTAGCACTGTCATAAAAGAATACAGTTTCGCATTTTACGTAACTCTCCATTCTGCTGTTAGATCGGTACTAGGTACTATGATGATGCTTCAATCTCAAATACACAGTGTACATCACGCGAACGTAATTGTATTCACATGGTTCTACGAGCTCTCGCCTATACATGGTGTACGCACACATATGCTACGCTACACAAGCGTGCGTCGCTAAGGACATTGCGTTTTCCATTTCAACGAGCTCATACATAAGAGCGATATTAGTAACATATCATTAACAATTCAAACCAGGTCAGCTCGTCGAGGTATTCTTCGAGACGATGTATTCATCAAATCTGAGATAAATCTAGTTTTATGAACAAGTCGGCAGTAATTGTGAATAATATGAATAATTAAATCTGTTAAGTTTTCTTGTTAGACAGGAAGCGGATTTTGTATGCCAAAAATTTAAAAAATTTTAAAAATTTTAATTGTTTAAGAATATAAGACGGCAACACTGAGAAGATATCCACATATTTTTGCGACTCAAAAATTATTCTTTGAACTGAAACAAATAGAATGTTGAAGTAGAATTTTATCTTTCTCCTTTTTTTCCTTGCGATGTTGTGCCTTGAGACACACTTGACAACACAGTTCTCCAAATGCGCATATGTATATATGTACACGCAAGTATCAGCAAAGCATATTTTTTAAGTCGTGACCGCCAGGTAGGAATGTCGAGTACGATAACGTGGGCAAAGACCGGAAACTAGGGCTGGTCCGAGTCCCACCCTGGAAAGGTCAGATAATCATATTTCCACCGGTAATCTTAACTCACCCTCGATAAAGATAACAGCGAACTAAAAGTGCGGTCGAGACAAAGTTCCCATTGCGGCGAATACTTATCGGTCTCTAACTAAACTGCCGCGTCGTTGAGGCTTCATGTTTAGATAAGCCGTGAAGAGCGCGCGCGAGGCATTTCGCGTTTGTACGATGGCTTCGAGCTCCAATTTCTCGATCCCGTACTAAGACGTACGTAGTATATTACGGCACAGGAACAACGCAATTGTGCAAATACAGATATCGTATCAATTCCGCGATTTTACCGGTGAGCACGGGCTTATACGACGCGAATCCGGAATGCCGCGTAGCGGCACGCGACGTGTATATACACACGGTTAGTGCACATGGGATGAATAATACGTGCATTCGCGACCTACGTCATACAAAGGTACAATTTAATCGGATCTAAAAATACCTCGATGATTCGCGATTCGGTCTCCGATGGCGCGAGAGCGAGGTGATTGTTTGTCAATCGGAACGCGTGGGCGTATCAGGAAGAAAAATACGCCGTGTTAGCGTGTAGAAGAAACATACAATTTTATTGAACGCGATACAACCCGACTGTTACGTTAGCGCGATCTGCGAAATTTGCGCGTAATTTTTTTGGTACAACAAATAGGAAGTTACGTTGTGGAAATATTCGAAAGAATATTCGGAGAGAGAGAGGAAACGAAAATATTCGTAAAACAACCATGGTTGAATTAACAAGATGCGTTTTGTTAAGCAATTTTTGGTTGAAATAAACAGAATTTCTGGTTATTGTAATCAAATATTCTGGTACGCAACCAGAATGTTTGGGTGTGATACCGTTTAGAATTTGGTTAGTGCATTTGTAGTAATAATATACAAGTATCTGGTTATTATAACTACAAGGGAAGAAGAGCATAGTTGGATTAACGTGACATGTATGTTTAAAGGAGTATTGGTGGAATTAAACATAATTTCTGGTTATCATAATCATACATGTCACGTTAATCCAATAGCTTGGTTCACGCGTGTCCAGTAATAACCAGACAAGTATCTGGTTATTCTGACCTATTTTGAAACTGAGGCTCGCGCGAAACTATTTTCTTTTGTCTGAAGAGCGGGGCCGTGTCGGGCTTGGTCGGGAAGCGGGTTTGGCTGACGTGCCGGACCTGGGTAAGATGAACCAAGCCGGCGTTCTCGCGCCGGTTTCGCAGGATAGCTCGGTCCCGTGCCTTGGCCTCCCGCGGATCTTCCTTGCTGCGAGACTTCCGTGGCGGCGCGAGCCGTCGTGGTCGTCCTCTTCGGCCGACTCTCTCAACCGCCTTGACGTCCTAACCTTGGAGCGCGATCTTGTTGCACGATTGCGTTCACGGTCATAAAGCGTGATTGCGTTTGTGCGCCGCGACCATCTCTTCGTTTCGTCCGCGTATATCTGTGTGTGAGACTTATTATGCAGCTTATTAGTATGTACACTAATAAGGTGGATAAGACGTCGGATTTACAATTAACCAAATACGCCTGGTTGCCGAAACCAGGATACATCCAATCCAATGTGTCCGGTTACTTCAACCAGAATGCAACTAACCAAATTTGTCTGGTTATTTTAATGAAAATTATGGATCGTTCATTTCTCACCAGACAGTCAGGTTGTTTGAACCAGATTTCCTATTAATTCAACCAAATATTTTTTTCCGTGAGGGAATAACACTTGCGTTTATACATCGCGATTTTTCCTTTTTTTGCCGCGAAGGCCGCAAGGTAATTTTCTAGCGAGTCATTTTTCCGATGTGAACAAAGTAAAAACCGTAAGAAGCGATCCGAGCAACCCGACCTCGCGACCTGATTTATTCTCTTGTGCCATTTCTTACACAAGAAATCCTTGACGCGCGCGGTGCGTTTAACACCGAACTTATCACGCCGTGTCTAATTGACTGTAATACCACGCGTGAGTAACGTGCGTTCTCTCTCGCGAATCTATGAGACCATCTGCACCGTTTTAAAGCGATCGCTTTTTAACGCGCCAAATATATTGCCGCTCGCCCTTGAGCGGAAGCAAAAACATCGTTAGATCAGTATTTCGAAATAAATACGAGATCAAAACACGAGCAAGATTGACAAAATAGCGATAATACACAGAAAAAAATTCTTATTTAAAGGATATCTTTATTTTTGACATGTAAATCTTAAAATGAGATTATACAGCGTTAAACAAAGATAAATTATTTGCATCAAAGCGTTATATACATATAATTCAATAAAGAAAAATATATTCTTATTATTCAAAAATAATTCTTATTAGTGGAAAGCAACAAATATTGGATAGAGAATAACAATATCTACTTTTAAAAGATGTTCATATTATAACGAAGACAGTTTGATCTTATTTTAAAATTCAATATTCTCTACGTGAACACAAATAATGTTGATTCAATTTTATTATGTTACAACGAAACAGAAGAAATCAGAAAAAGATGAAGACATCATTATCATCAAAATACTCATATTGTACTCTTTATGTGACAATTATAATATTCGAATTATAATATTCTTGAAATACAAGAATATAAAATTCTATGAAAGAAATTATATATTGGTTATATATATAATTCAATTTTCTATTAAGATCCTGAAGTTTTATTGACCTGGAACACCCTATACATAAAACAATGATTGTGTTTACTTGAATATACGTCTCGATCAAAGACTAAGGGTCAAAGCACATAACATGGCGTAGCGATATACGACGGTCGTAGTCTCCGACCTGACAGATCAGGATACGTCAAAGCTTGTGCGTTACTTACGTCCACGACTACGACTGTCATATGTGCTATAATTTATCGATTCTACGCTATCGCGGAGAAAAGCAGGTAGTCGCTAGTAATTGCGATCGCATCCGCATACCCGCGGCGAGATTCCAAATTAGCGTGGCACGCACGCCTAGCACGCGTTCGCAGATTCGCGCAATCCGTGCGCAGAGCGCAGAGCATCTGTATGTGTGTATACATACGTTATATAATAACGAGGACGCGCATCTCCGTATCTGTTTCAAGTGCACGTGGAATCCGGCGGCCTCCTCTCCGTATGCTCTTTTTATTTTCATACCGTCGCGCTTCTCATCGCTTACATCGGAGACGACCGGCGTAACGATCGTGCAAAATTATATGGCAAACAGATGTTTCTCGTGACGCGCCACGAATACGATAGTCATCGCACAGTCACACACGAGTTGGATTATTTTCCACGGAAGTTGGACTATTCCCTGAATTCAACGTCAAAAGCTGAAATATTCATACACCTGTTTTGACTGTAATGTTTATATTCTGACTTCAAAGGGATTACGTACTTTTGACGGACCTCGGTCGAAATTAACGAATTTTTATTATGGGTAAAATTATGTTAGTAAAAAAAGAAAAAACGTGTCTGGTAGAGTAGTCTTTCGAGAATATCTCCAGAAAATTTCAGTAAAAATATCAAAAATATCATAAAACTGATTTTGAAAATATTGATTTTTCGAAAAATGCAATTTTTTATTACAAAAATCGGTTTTTTTATTTATAAAAAACTAAGCAATAAATCGAAAAAAATTCTGTGACAAGGACTAGATTATTGTATATTGAGAGTGACTGCAAAAAATTTCATGCATTCACTTATAAGTCTCCGAGATATTTCTGGTATCGATTTTCAAAACATTGTTTCGGGAAAATAGCTGTCAGGACTTCAATTTTTATTATTTTTTATTGAAATTTGCGGGAAATATTCTCAAAAGACTACTCTACAAGGCATGTATTTTTATTTTTTAATGAAACATAATTTTACCCACAATAAAAATTTATTAATTTCGACCTAGTTTTAAGACCTGTCAAAGATATGTAATCCCCGAAAGGGGTCAATATAAAAGCTCGAATATTTTTGACATGTATTTATACCTATAAAATATGTAAATACGCGTTATAAATACTATCAGCGGAACACGGGGAGGGAGAAAGCGTATTTGTTATAAAATCCAAGTCGCGAAATAAAACAATGAAACGAGCGATTCTCAAACTGGAGCAAAATATTCATGAGGCTTCATATCGCGAGAGCGTTTGCATAAATTACATTCGCGCGCGGAAAACTTGTTAGCGAATCACTCATGCGTCATCGATCATAAACACACATGATTGATTATCGATTAACGAGCTGCTTGAACAAGAGGTGAGACATGTTTTCGTATATACGTACCCGTTGCGCGCATCGTACAAAAACCCGATCCAACGGAGACTTGGAGTCCTGGGCCTTGGAGGTTCTCTCCTTGCACCACGCTTGACCCATTTTTTTCCTTTCCACGGCTGGATTTCTCCTTTTCTAGTCAAGTCGCTCGCACGGCGCGGCTGGAGTGGTTCTTCTCATCGATAAGGCCAGATAATGTAGGCCATCTTCGGATCCGTTCTTCGCGACCTGCCGCAACCGGCGTGTTTCCTGCGTTTGGCCGTGCGATCGGATCTCGTCTGAGAATTCTAAAAGGTCGGCGTGGCCCCTCGAGGGAAATGAAAAGAAGGCGCCGAGAGACGCTTACAACGTCCACCCGATGCGTGACCCCCTCTCGCCGATCTGAAAGACAACGAAATATCCCGTTGATCTATTCCGGTCCGATTTGTTCGTTTCGTGAGATAATCCCTGTAATTATAATTACGCGAACGTTCCAATTTCGCGAGATGGATTTAAATTTAGATAGCAGATATATCGAAGGCATGTTAATCCTTTCGGACAGTTTCGAGAAAATGCAATGATTTTCCGGGAGTGTGATAAAAATAGTAAAAATGTAATAAATTTGACCACATTGCTATATAATCTAATTCAATATATACAATAGTTTGTTAATATTAAGTTTAAAAAGATTTCTTCGCAGTTTAGTAGACGTGCGTGTATTTGGCAAACTCGAGATTATTTACTTATATAGTTAAAAGAAAAGATTAGATTATCGTTGCGCTAAACCGCGGCTAAACCTTCGGTTTTTGAGATCGGATGTATAGATTGACGATAGACGAGATGTTCGCATCATTTTACTCTTTCCATGAATGGACGTGTGAGTTGCGTTGGCATTGAGGCTGCGACACGGTCACACGGACCGCCTTCTTACGATGCGTCATGTGCGCTTGAAACTCGAGTGTACGCACGAGTACCCGCGCCCATATTCGCCTTCGCACATTTTCGCGCGCGAGTATGCGCGTTAAAGTGCGCCACACGGAAACCACGAAAAAGGGGAAAACGGTTCATTGCACTTTCTAAACTGCAGCCGATGGCGCGCGTGATACACGCACCTGTTCGAGCGATCCCACCGCGCGCGCACGCGCGCGCTGGATCGCGCGAGATGCGTAGAACGGGAGAGTCGTCTCCGACAAAGTTTCAATAACGGTCCTCGTCCTGACACGGGATAAAAAAGTCCGTCCAAAACGACGTCTGAAAAATGTCGGTTCCCAATGAACATAATGTCTCAAATCGGAAAATGACGTCTTAAAGACATTATTAAGACGTCTTTAAGACGTTATATCTCCCGATTTGAGACATACTGGGTTAAGTCTTCTGAACGTTCTCGCTAACGCCCTCAAGCATTCACCGTCCAAGTCGCGTTCGGTTCTATTCGATAACGTACTTATTCTTCTCGGAGGCGCTGCAGTTCCGGCCGTGGTTTAGGTATTCAAGCGCACGTCTCTCCGAGGAAGCAATCTTAGCCGTCAGCGACTACGATGGATCACCTGCGAGCACGCGCGCGGGCACGAGCGACGAGTCAACTGGTGACGGAGCGCAGCGCGGAACTGCGAGTGCGACCGCGGCTGCGGCTGCGAGCGCGCGGCAACTGGTACCACGCCGGTCAACTGGTACCGGGTCGGTCGGTCGGTCGGACTCGCGGCACTCGCAACACCGTGCTCCGGTCCGGACACCGGGCGTAGGTATTCTGGACAGTCGGGCAACGGCACCGCGCGCGAACGAAGATGGCATGCAGCAGCAGCAGCAGCAGGCGAGACGCCGCCGTGGTCTCGGCACGAACGCTTTCTAACCGCAGCCTCCGCGCTCTCGCGGGGCTCCACAGGCCCCGGCGCGCGCGGCCGTAGAGCCCGTCGTGCCCGCGAGGAGATCGGCGGCGCGGAGGTTCTTTCTCCTCTACTCCTCTACCTCCTTCGCGCCTTCCTCGTCCTTCGCTCGCGCTCACCGCTCCGCGGCGCGGCGCGAGAGCCGGCGCGACGGTCCACACACCCTCTCGGCCTTACATCCGCCTCACCTCTCCGGCCTGCGGCTGCAGCGGCTGATAGATTCTCCGTCGGAAATTCGACCTTCTACTCTCTCTCGCGCGAGTTCTTCCCTGCCCGCACTCCCAGGTACACACTCCCGGGAGATTCCACAGTTTCATTTTCCTCCTCTCGATATTTCATCTCGCGTTACCCACTCGACAATCGGTGCCCTCTCCCCCGTCCTCCGCGCGCCCGTTCTTTGTCCCGCTCCAGGACATTGTGTTTCCCTCGTCGCCGCGCCGTGCCGCGCTCCCCCGCATCATGCCTTTCGAGAACTCATTCTCGGGAAACTTGACACACTAACTTGATACGTTGAGGATTATCTGCTTTTACCGCATGTAATTTTATATATATTTGTATGTTAATCAATTCTATGAATTTTTTCTCTCGAGAATCTATTGCGTATTATTCAACAGGTTGTTTTAATCGGTGGAAATTGCACGAGCAGGAAGAAAGTTAGTTCTTGGACTTGACACGTGACATGTTAATTACGTACTGTGAGAGACTTGGAAAAAATATATGAATTTTACCAAATTTATTATCGAAAAGAAAATTGTTTACCGAGATTGTTGATGAATATATTTCTTGCGCTCGATGTATATATGGTATAAAAATACATTCTGTGTGTGTATATACTATAGCCTGAGTACCTATATGCTATTTTAGTGTATAATTACGTTCATGGTTGTAATTTAGGTGCTCTAACAGGTGTTTTTGATTATTCTGACTGTAATTTAAGAAAGTACACCGTTTGAACTCCCGAAAAATGAGTACATTTTCTAGATTTTTGAAGTAAAACTTCTTTATTGTACTAATTATACTAATTTGACCAATAGGCGTACGGCGTTGGCGAGACGGTTCTTCTTCTG